AAACTGAATTGGAATGTTTCGGTCCATTACGTCGCATATGTTCCCATTAACAGTGCTGCAACTGGGACCTCGTATATTGAATTTGATTTTTGACGAAACGCGTAATGCATTGTGATACTGAACTTAGAAGTTACTTTTCGGTAGAGAGAACGATTTTCTACTGGATGCTCTGTGCTGGGAATGTTTGCTGGCCATTACTGTGTGTGCTACAAGTTACCGCAGTTGTGATATTTGCATTGGGATTTTTCACCAAAGGATTGCGCTCGCCAGCTACAAATGGAACTACGCAAGAACTACGGGGTTTTGAAGGTGAGTATGACACTTTAGAAGTACTTCAAATGTTTTGGTGATGCTTGGACTTGTGGAAAAAAGGAAGCTAGCGTTTCGCGGAATTAGTAGTGTGTTTTGCTACTTTCCAGCCTCTACAGTTCGAATCTACCATCGACAGTACCCTTCCCCGTGTTTAGATTAGTTAATTCATCACAACGAATGAATTGGTGCTTTCCAACTTGCTCAAGTACCAATAATAGGCAGCCCTTGTGCGAACGGAGCCCTTTCTCGAAAACTGTTCTAGACCGGAATCGAACCATTCGTCCTTATGTCCGAACGCAACACGTTACCACTACACCACCGGTCCTTGTACTTTATATTCAGTCTAGCAGCACATCTGCTGTGTATCTGCCTTTCAAGGCAACATGCCTCTCTTTTTTCTTTATGGCGGCTGCTTAGTCGACTTTTAGCGGGTTTTCCACGACACTTCCGCCACAGAAATGCCGCAGCCCATAAACCCGCGAAGGACTGCGCCACAAATATTGGTTGCTGACTTCTTCAGTCGCATTCCCGGTCGATTCACCATGTCGCGAACGTAGCCCTTTCTCGAAAATTGTTCTGAATCGGTGGTGTAATGGTGACGCGTTGCGTCCGAATGTGAAAAGGAATGATTCGATTCCTTCCCGGTCCAGAACAGTTTTCGAGAAAGTGCTTCGTTCGCGACAGTCCTCCTCCCCTGCTGTGAGCTTTTTCGGTATATCCTTTTGTTCTCATTTATGTAGCACTTTTTTTGCTTCGTTTTTTGCTGTCATATATCTCTCGTTATTCAATAGATTTTTCATCTGCATACACATTCTTATTTCATCTGCTCTCAGTTAATACCGCGCAATCGTCTTAATGACGATTTCTAGTTGTGGTGCTGAATAGGAATGTATGCAACTTAATGGACCGAAACATTCCACGTTTCAGTTGATTAATATTTTTCTTTTTTTATATAAATTATACTTCATATACATCGCCAGTAACATCTCTGCATCATAAGCAACTCTCAGGAGACGAGATAATAATTATAATAATTTTATTGTAGTGATTTTATTAAAAATTTACTAATTTTACTAATTTCATAATTCTTATTTTCCTAGTTTCCTCTTCGATCCTCCTTCTTATTTCAGTATATCTTTCTATCCTTTGACAACCAGCGAGTGGTGATTGTTGTCAAAGTGATGTTTGGCTATTTCTTGGGTATATCCCGGGCAACTTCGTTTTATCGTCACATTATTTTAGGATGTCCAAAAAGTCTGGTGAAAAAGCCTTCAGCGGAAGGGCCTGGAAGCACGAAAATGGTAATTGTATTGATTGATGCCTGGCAGGAGCAGTTTTTTTTCAACAGGCAAGAAATGCGTTTTTTACGGCAAATTACACTTGATGGCGCAGCACTGGCCTTTACCGCACACGTACAAACTCCCACCGTAACGATGCCACGGATAAAAGTAAGCTCATGGATTTTTGTATTACTTAAACTTTACTATATTCGTTATCGCGTTTGCCGGCTTTATATAACTATCTTTATATAACTAACCTATATAACTATCTTTTCTCTTCCCCAACCACCTCCCTCTTGTGTCCTTCTACCATTGGTCACTACTAGTCGCTACAATTACGAATTAATCATTACCTCTATTCTCATCAGTTTTCTTTAAAAAACCCCCAATTCTCACCCCTCCCATTCAAAATCTCACATACACATGCAATTTTTGGTCATTCCCCCATCAACAATTTGACTTAATTACATTTAGCATGCTTCATTTTATTTACCCACCTTCCATCTCTCCCCTTCCGTTAACTCACTTTCGCAATAGTCGAAAAGCTTGTTTGTGGTATTTCATCCATGTTGTTTTGTTTGATTTTCCTGTTACTTTGGATCACCTACCTTAAGTATATCGGTAACAAAAACGGTGTTTGACATCTCTAATGATTCTCACCTCTAACCATACCTTGCACTGTCTGTGTTTACAGCTAAGAGGTGAAATACAGACAGACCACCCTACATATACCCTGAACACAACCATGTAACTTTTCAAACGATTTCTTCCACATTAACAATAATAATAAAAATAATAAACCCAATTATATTACTCAGCCACTATTCTCTATCAAATTCTATTCCTCCAGCCTTAAAACATATGGAATTCAGCAGTGCTGAATTTTCTTGGGTTCGCACAGTCCTTTACTTTGCATGTTATTTCTCGGTCTACCTACGTGCGCAAATTACCACCGCACATATACCAGAACCCTGACTTTCCTGCTTGGAATGACTAATTTTACCTAGGCTTCCATGACCCTTTCTTTCCTTTCTATTTCTTGAGCACGTTGTTTATTTTGTAAAAAAAACCATTTTTTCGGTCGATAAACATAATTTTTTTTTTTTTTTTTGCAAAAGAGCATTATGTTTTTCGGCCAAATGGCCTTTCATTTTGTGAAACTCACATTTCGCGTCATTTTATGCTCAGATCCATAGGTTTTTCAAGTAAATCAGTAAATTCTTGATTTTTCTATTTTTTCCATCTTTGAATTATAGGCGCTGACCGCTGGCGTAGTTCCATCATTCGCTGATATTGTGCTAAATTTTGCGACCACATCGATTTCGAATGACAATATTATTGATCAACTTAAAGGTAACGGTTACAGGTAAAAAATATTAACTGGTTTGGTCCCCGCACTTAAAAATCAGTATTTAGCTTTATTTGCAAATCCGCATTGTCTCCACCAAATCGGAAGGATGGCTTAAAAAATAGTTCGATACAGATAAAATAAAGTGATTTTTTGCCGGCCCTGTGCAAAACTTCCATCATTTCTGACCTGCCTGTTATGGTTTGTGGCGATTTTTCATCGAGGAGCACACGTTAGGTCAGCATAACACTGTTTTGCTTTGAAAATCACAGTGAAAAGTGAACATTTGAGCTATTTTGCTATGGTAAAATTTTTAATTTCTTACAATGGTATTGCATTGAAAATCGAGAATCCGACTCCGCCACTGTGAGCCAATCATTTCTCTCTACGATTCGTTCATTCGTTTTGATGGTAAATTGGTACTGGTGCAAACCAAAGAGCTGAAATCGCCGTTAGCTTATTTTCTAAGAAAACCTAGAAAAAAGAACGACCAGCAGCCTTGTTAATGCTATTATAAGGTGCTATCTCTCGGTCCATTTCCGAGACTTCCCGTCTTTTATGGCGAATGAACACGAAGGGGATGTACCTTTTAATCGAATGCACTGTGTGGACAGTTTTTTTTTTCAAATAGGTCAGGCTAACTACACAAAAAACCAGAAAAGTTCTCAGAAATTCTTGAAAAAGAACGATCTGCAACTGTGTTCTTGCTGTTAGCAAATACTATTTCTGGGTCTATTTCCGAGACTTCCCGCCTTCCACGAAAAGTGAACACGAAGGGACTTTACCTCTTAAATCAGTTTTGATGGTTCTAGATTTATGAAAACTACTGCTGAGAGCTTATGAAAACTACTACTGAAAGCTCTCAGCAGTAGTTTTCATAAATCTATTAGTTGTATTATTATCACTAAATTAGAGTGTTACTGTTACATTTTTTCTAAGGTTTCTTAGAAATAAGCTAATGACAATTTCAGCCTTTTAATTTGACTAGATTTTTTTTCTTCAACTAAGTCAGGCTAACTTCACAAGCAGCCAGAAAAGTTCTCAGCAGTAGTTTTCATAAATTTGTTAGCTATATCGTTACCACTAAATTAGGGTGTTACTCTTACATTTCTTATACGTAGTTTGCCACAACTGATTTTCATATCACTTCCATACAAAAAAAAATTGGTTTGCCCTCAAGAGGAATTTTTTTTTCGGGGAAAAAATTACCTTCGTTTATGATAATTTCGTTTATAATTTCATTTATAACTTTATTTATATAATACTTTCGTTTGTGATAATTTCTGCTAACGTACAGGTTGACATTTTGTGGCGATGAGACCTGGTTACAATTATTCCCTGGTCGTTTCGATAATCATTCGGTGGGTACCGCATCGTTCTACGTCAATGATTATAAAGAGGTATTTTGTTGTTTTGGAAGAAAATATTTTTTAAGTGAATTACTGCTTATTTTTGCCCTGTTCTTTGTAGTGAATTGCTTATTTTAGTTGAACGGCAGATCAGTAACTCGAAGGGTGTCCATTGTTTTTTGGGATTTAAGGAAAAAGCAGTAATGGTAGAACTGTGAGGCTGTAAAATCTGGGAAAGACGTTGGTTTTTCTTTTTTTTGATCAGCGATTCGGAGGATATCCACTTTTTTTTGGGGTTTAAGAAAAAAGTAATAATGGTAAAACTGTAAGGTTCTAAAATCTGGGAAAGACATTGGTTTTTCTTTTGTGATACCACATAATTTCTTATTAGAAATGATCGGTGGAAAAGTACGCTGAACCATAGCATTTTTGAGACGAGAAGATTGAATTTTGCTAAGGTTGTTCAAGGACTGAAATGAGTA